CCCCCTGGGACTGCGCGTGGAGGAGCTGAAGGAGCGGCTGGAGGCTGGGGTTGGGGGGCAGCCCCCCCGGCAGCCCCCATCCCCACCGGCCACCCCCCCATCCCCACCACCAGCCCCCGGCTCCCCACACCCTGAGGTGAGCTGGGCAAGGCTGGAAGGGGGGGGTGGATGGGGCTGGGGAGTGTGAAGATGCTGGGTGGGGGCACCCTGCTGCAGCTGGGGTGGGGGTCAGCCTTCTCTGACCCCCCCACCCCCCCCATTTGCTGTGCCCTGCAGAGCCCCACAGTGATGGAGGGTCCCCAGGGGACAGCGGGGGACAGTGAGGTGGTGACGGGGGGGTTGCCCCGGCGCCTCTGGCACAAGCAGCTCCGAGTGGAGGAGGATTTCGAGGACCTTCTGGCCCAGTGAGTCACCTCACGGTGGGGTGTGGGGGGGACACAGGGAGGCACCCCCCAAAAATTATTAACTCTGGCTTGTGGGTGTCCTCCCCCCACCTCCAGGTACAAGCACTTCAAGTCCTTGCCAGAGTCGCTGAGCCTGGAGCAGCTGAGCCTGGTGGAGAGCAGGTCCCAGGAGGAGGTGGATGGACCTGCAGCAGGGGATGGTGGCCCCAGCAAGGTCCCCTGTAGGACACGGTCACTAGAAGAGGAGGCCGACCTCGTGTCCTCCCCCCTGTAAGTGTTGTGGGAGGACATGGGAGCTTCACGTGAGCTTCACAGGAGCTTCACATGAGCTTCACAAGAGCTTCACAGGAGCTTCATAGGAGCTTCAACAAGGCCAAGTGCCAGGTCCCGCACTTGGGCCACACCAACCCCATGCGTCACTATGGGCTTGGGGAAGGGTGGCTGGAGCTGCCTGGTGGAAAGGGACTTGGGGGTTCTAATTGACCAGAGGCTGAATATGAGCCAGCAGAGTGCCCAGGTGGCCAAGAAAGCCAACAGCATCCTGGCTTGGATTAGAAATAGTGTGACCAGCAGGAGTAGGAGGTGATTGTCCCCCTGGGCTCAGCACTGGGGAGGCCACACCTGGAGTGTTGTGTCCAGTTTTGGGCACCTCAATCCAAGAGAGATCTGGAGGTGGTGGAGCCGGGGCAGAGGAGGGCAACGAAGCTGGTGAAGGGCCTGGAGAGTAAATAGTACGAAGAACAATTGAAGGAGCTGGGACTGTTTAGTTTGAGGAAGAGGAGGCTGAGGGGAGACCTCATCACTCTCTACAACTACTTGAAAGGACACTGTAGAGAGGTTGGTGCTGGTCTCTTCTCCCAGGGAATTAGTGATAGAACGAGAGGGAACGGCTTCAGGCTGCAACAGGGTAGGTTTAGAGTTGACATTAGGAAACAATTCTTCACAGGAAGAGTGGTCAGAGACTGGAACAGGCTGCCCAGGGAGGTGGTTGAGTCACCATCCTTGGATGAGTTTAAGAGTCGTTTAGATGTGGTGTTGGGGGACATGGTGTAGGGGAGGACTTTGTAGAGTAGGGGAGATGGTTGGACTCAATGATCCCGAGGGTCTTTTCCAACTTGAATGATTCTATGATTCCATGTCCCCTTTAGGGTAGAACTTTGAAGAGTAGGGTTGATGGTTGGACTCAATGATCCCAAGGGTCTTTTCCAACCTGAATGATTCCATGTCCCCTGGGCAGGGCGAGTGGGAGGTTTTATATCAAGTCTCAAGTTCTATGTCTCTGGCACTGTTGATAGGCTTCAGAGTTAACAGCCTCCAGGGGAGAGCTGGTGGCACCAGGGCGTTTCCCCACCTTTGGGGCTGCTCTGCCCCATCACTCATGCTCCATCCTCCCCCCGCAGGCACCCCCCAGAGAAGACAACCGTGCCGCTGCCCCCCGAGAAGCTCCCATGGCCAAGGGGGCCACGGGGCCACCTTGTCACCGCTGAGAACCCACCAGCCATAGCCAAGCCCTCCCTGGGGCTCCCCGAGCCACCGCGGGCACCCCTGTCCCGCCGCAGCAGTGGGGTGGGCACCTCTGCCAGCCAGCCCCGTCCCCACAAGGTGGGTGTCCCCCCCACAACCAGCACCCCCAATCCCTGCTGGGGGAGGTGGGGGGGTGCTGGGCACCCACCCTGCTCTCCCCACTGCAGGACCACCGCATCGTGTCACCGGAGACCGACAGTGGCTTCGTGGGCTCGGAGGCCAGCAGGGTGTCACCCCCCGTGCACACCCCCGAGCACCGCCCCCCCGGCACCGGGTAAGGCCCTGGGGGGGGGCAGGATTTGGGGACATGGGCCACCAGCTCTGTCTGGGGGGACTGGGGGCATCGAAGGGGAGCAGGGATGGATGGGGGAAGAGGCGGCGAGGATGTGGGGAGCAGGGAGGGGGGGGAGATGTGTGGGGGGTCCATGGCTGGGGGAAGAGCCCTGGGGGCTGCCAACATGACCCCTCCCGTCCCCAGGACCCCCGGTTCACTGGGACCCTCCATCCCCGTCCCCGCGACCCTCCGTCCTCTGCGGAAGAGAGATGTGACCCCACTGCCCTCCAAGCCGGCGCCGATGGGCATCTTCCCGGCAGG